TTCCGATCTCCCCAAAACCCCAAAACCCCAAAACCCCAGAAACTAATGATATAAATATTAAAGTAATTTATTCATTAAATTATATAAAAATCTTAATGCATCAATGAGTAGTTAATATTAATTCATTTTAATCAAAAAGCTTTCAATATTGCCTATGAAAGTAAATTGGAGAATATAAGAGGAAGCATGGAGACAATCAATATGCAGCATATTATTAAGCATCCATAGCCTATGATTTTTCTTTTCAACTCTGGTCCAATCAGTTAACTAAGCATTTTGAATGGGTTAAAAGAGAATTCAAGCCTTCCTTGAGGAGGTGGAAGGAATGGGGAATGATTAGGTTCACTTCTTGCATCTCCAACTTTGTTCAACTCAGCCCTATAATTAAAGTTATAATCTAATCAACTCTTACTGTTCCTTGGCCATAACTGTAAGGGATAGTCTGACGAATCCATTTACTACTATTTCATTAGTCTTTTCATCTTTTCCTTTAACTGGAACCCAGAAAGAGTCCTCGTCTTCAAATTTCAAAGGAACATCCTTTGGCATAATGTCTTTTAGATAAGACTCGTAGTACTTCTTGTTAAGTGAGAATGATTTCTCAGTCTCAATAACATCAGTAAATAAGGGCTTAAGATCAAGATTAGCATCACCAATAAGATCATTACTAGCAAAGAAATCTCTATCCCAAACCTAGACTGTAAAATTGTAATTATCGCAGGGAGCGCTAACGGTGTATAGAATTCTATAGTTAAATGAAGCTGCGCCATTTTAGCATCTGTAATGAGTATCAGATTCCTTTGCATTCTTTGTATCAAAGAATCCTCGAATGAAAATATCACTTACACCTTCCCAATCTGCAGGAATTACATCCTTGGTATCCCATACTACTACTCTCACTTCATAGTCTTTTTAAGGTCGTGGAGTGATATCCCAAGGCTTTTACTCTTAGGATGCTTTACTTGTAGGATATATCTCAACCCAGCATTTTACAACTCCTTAGCCGACAGTTGATGATGGATGACTGAGGCTTCTGTATTCAACTGGCTTCTCTTTGATTGACTGCCACTCTGCTGAGAAAAATCTGTCATCCAAATCTATAACAGTCTCTCCAATCATATCATCACCAAAGAGATCATCATAGTCATAAGCCTAAATGACAAGTGGTTAAGCTCCTGGAAATTCAGCATCGAAATCATAGTATTTGTAAAACTTAGGATTTGGTTGATCAAGTTAATAGTTATCTCTCTCATTAAACGTCTTCTTTCCCAGGGAAATCTTTAGATAAGGATCTGAGTATGATCCAATATCTCTTTGAGCAAAATCAAAACCTTCTACCATATAAAGTCTAACTAAAGTTTTAGTCTTAGTGAGCATTAACTTGGCGAGATTATCTTCATAACTAGTCTCAATAAGATAGCTAGCAAGATTCAAATGAGCGAGTCCAATATCATCCATTATAGCATTGAACTTATTTCTTCCTTCCTATGTTTCTATTTTTTCAAAATCGAAAGTCATATCCTCTTTTTTAACTTTTTTATAGACATCTTTAATCAATCTCAGAATCAAGTCGTTTCTGGAGTTTCTCAATGCCTTATAATTATCATCATCATCCTTATTGTATACTTTGATAAGACCTTTGAACTTCCCAACCTACTTGAGGTTTGAAACTTGGCCTGTCTCATCTGTGTTAGCTCTTCCAAACAAATTTCCAAAGAATCCCTTAGAGAGCCCTCTTTATTATCCTCTCATTACTGGATCTTCATGGAATGGTTTCTTTGGCATTACCTCCTTGATGTTTTCTAGCTCATCTGGGTAATATCGCCTATAATGCTTCTTGTTATCTTCTGGCTTCTGATTAAAACCCAGCCCCACAAAAAGTGAAGGAGGAGGGGGCTCTACTTCTCTTTGAATCTTTAATCTTTCATCAATGGCATATTTAGGAATAATGACATTTTTATATGCTTGCCCACCACCTCTTTACTTAATTGACTCTAGATCCTTTAATCTCTGCTCTTCAAGTTCTCTCTTTTGCTTCTATTCAATTTCCATTTTATTTTGAAGGTATGAGTTTCTAATCTTAGCCTAAAGAGCATCTTGAAGCAGCTTCTTTCCTTTTTAAAGTATTGCTCCTCCAACTTTAGCTTATGGTTTTGAAAATCTCTATGGGCTTGAATTATTGGCTTTATTAGTATCAATTTAAAATTCAATCTAATTTGGATCTGCTTTTTATTCTTCTTCTGGTGCTGAAACTCCACCGTTCAATACCTTCTTCAATTCTCTAATGATATAGTCAGATTGGATAATTTCACTTTCTTGATTATTTTTAGTTTCTTCTAAAATTGGTCCAATAGGAATCGCAAACGTTCCTAATAAAGGCTATGATAATCCCTTAAAGACATAGTCGAAGACATCACAAGAGAGTTTTGGGCAAAAGAGAGGATCAGAGGGTAGAGTGATTGTAAATGTAACAGTTGTATTGATGTTTGGATTTGGGCCAGTATCACCCGGATTAGTCTTTACATTAGTAATGGCTTTTGCTTATTCAGGTGGCAGCAATGATCTTAGGTTGAACTTGATAAATGGTTTCTTAACAGGAACAAGTCCAAAGGATTGCAGACCTCTTAGACCTAGAGCGTTAATTTCAACAGTAAATTCTTTAAAGTCAATCTTATCTGTCAATCTCATGTAAGAAAGTGGAACTATGAAATTATAGTCATCTCTTACTAGAGCGAATGAGCAGAGGACTTCTCCGATTGAGGGCTCGTCTTCATGGAATCCCATTTAAATCTTGTGCCATTTTGGTATAGTGATAGAGTCGTCCTAACTTAAAGAAGCATCTTTTAAAAAGATGACTGCTCTTCCTAGGAAGTCGTCACTGTCAAAGGCTGAGGTATCTTAATCCCAGATGTTTAAGACTATCGGAGGCGAATCATCAGCAGTCAAAAAGTCATAATAAATTTCAAGTGTTGAAAAGAATATAGGATTGCAATTATCCTCAACTACTGGAGTTAGTTATCTATTCTTGTCAGGAGACCAAACTTCAATATATGGATCAGAAGTACCATCATCATCTGCAGCAGGCAAATCTTTGCATTGATAAATATAAGCTCTGATCTTCCATGCACTTAGTCTCTTTGGAGGTGGCTTTTTCCATGAGTCGTATTTCTTGAAATCAACAGCACCATTCATTGATTTATGATTAATGCAGAGCTTTATTTGAATCATTCCAGCCTTTGAGTTGTCACTTACCTCCCCTACTGAAAGATCAGAAGTTAAAGGTAGCCATTTAAAACCTGGATCAGGTTCCTAAAAGTCTTTGGCATCTCCTTTCCAGTAGCATACTGGCTTATCACCATCCATTAAGTAAATGTATACTCTTTCAAGATCCTCAATTGATGTATAAGAACATGTCAATGTAGTTAAATCGAATCTTTTGTTCCATCTGCAATAGTTTTGCTTAGTTTCTAAAGGTGCCTCTGTCATTAATGAGAAGTCATTGATTGTCAGCTTAACCTTATATTTTTCTGATTTAGGAAGACATATTGCAGATCCAATTTCACACATTATTTCAAAGTCAGTTAAGGATTACCAAGATTTCTACTCCTGTTTGACTTCATTTCCTATCTCCTTAATCTTTAACTCTGGGTTTTTAGTATCCTCAGCAAAGTATTGAACTAGCACTCTTCCTTTCCAAGTTGAGGCATATTCAGGATTATTGTTCATCTTATCAGTATTCTCTCCACTATATCCAACTGGAGCCCCATAAATGTTAACCCAATTGAAAGTTGGCTTTTCGCATTAAAGAATACTCTTGATTGAAAAGATCATAGACCCGACTAAGTCATCTCCAGTAGGATCGCTATCATAAAGTTTGAATACTAGCCTATTAGAAGCAACAGGCCATTGAATTGGCAGCCAAATTTCTTCATCCCATTATATTACTCCATCTTTTGATTCAATCGTCTTAGTTCTTAACGTCTATTTAAAGAAAGTAGTTTGGATGTAGGGATTAATGTACCCGAATCTATCCATTTTAGGCAGTTTCTCTGCTCTTAAGATTCTAAAGTAAAGTTGCTTGTATTGTTTCTTAATAGAAGCTGGCATCAGAATGGAGTCACCGTCAGTTTTATCGAGGCCAGATGGATCATCAGTCAACTGAACTTGATCATCCCCAGGTCCAGCTATTGAAATTGACAGCTTGAGGTATCCAGTAATCTCATTGAAGTCCTTGCCTTCAGGGTTAGAAAGTGCAAGCCATTGATGCTGCATTACATGATCTTTTTAGAAATAGATTTGAGTGAACTCAAGCTCATAGACACCAATTGTATCATCTTTTAAGAAACCCTTATTCAAAATCCTTATAACGATTTTTCCCTCCTCTATCTCACTAACTTCCTAATAATGTTAACTTTTAAGATGAGCTTACCAGTTTCTTAGGCTCGAAGAAAATATGCTCTCCCCAATGAACGACTCCAGTTGGTCCTATGTCATTCTTGCTTGATGTAAATTTCTTCTTTTCCAAACAGGTGATTTCAATAATTGGATCAACAGTGTCTCTAGAATTGAATTGAATTTCTATTGAATGAAGTAAATCTTACGCTCCGTCAAGCCTGATTTATCTGGACTACTGAATGAAAACATGAATGACGTAATCACCATGTCTTAGCTTTCCAACCTCTCTAAAAATTTAGGCTAAATGTCTTACGGGGGTGGTTTCTCCTCTACTTTTGGCTCTTCTTTAGCTTTGCCTAAACCGAACATTTTTATTTTAATTTGAATTTCTCTTTGCTCACAAGAACTCTCTTATTATTATGATCGGGGTTTTGGGGTTTTGGGGTTTTGGGGTTTTGGGGTTTTGGGGTTTTGG